AGGCAATTAAAAGACACCGTGTAGTTGTATTTAACCAAATTAAAAATAATAATAATGAATCTACTGTGCTCTAATCAGTAAGGAAAGGAAGCCATGCGTAAAGGTGAGGTTTAGCCATGAGACAGCTAAACTGATGAGCTCTTCTGTTAAGATTTGTTTTTGAATGCCTGAGTAGTGGTGCTAATATGCTGATACCTGCAATTTATGCACAAGAGTGACCTTGAGACTAGCTGCTCTCTGAACAATCAGGAAGAATATGATTTCCTTGCAACAGTCTGTCTGTAGTCTTGGAAAGGGGATGAGGAGGCAGAAGATAAAGGGAGCACAACAAGGAACTGGGATATTGGTCAGTGGAAGTCCCTGGAAGCGGCACAACATTTCCTAAGAAAGACCCAAAGATGAAATGTGCCATTGTAGAAGGAGGGAGAAAGCTAAGAAAAAACAGAACCCCTCCCAGAGAGCCAATGCAGGCCAAAATGAATGCAGCACAGGCACCAAAGGGCTGCTGTTACCAGTGCATGTTGATCTGCACACCTGAGAGCACTTGGCCCTGCTTGGGCATTCTTGCAGGGACATCTCAGTGCTCACCTGTAGAGGAGCTCTCCTGCTGGTTGGTTGCCTCCTGTTAACAGAGCTGTTAACAGCTTAACAGAGGCTGTGTTAAATTTTGGGTGTAAAAGTCCCCTTGAAACTGCTTAGCAGTGATCAGGGTAATGCTGGGTAAGTATGATAAATACGAGAATACACATTTAAAACCTTTGCCATTGTGGCTGGAACATTTCTTTTGGCTGTGAACAGGCAAAAGAAAATTGTGGGCTAGACTCTGTCCTGAGAGGTAACATAGTTTTATTTACCAGGAGGTAAATGAAAATCACTGGGGGACTAACTTGAAAAATTAACACTTGATGATTTGGTAAGGTCATCCTCTTTTCCTCTACTAAGTCACTTTCCAGAACACTTTTATAGCCAAGATGTTTCAAGAAGGTCTCCAAGCCTGCGTCTGGACACCTTGCTTTTATAGCCGAATTTAGAACAGGCCAAGCATGAATTCAGCTCTGAGAATCAAAATACTTCTGCAAAATGGGTCTTGCAATGGCAGACATCCTCAGACCTTTCCTTAAGACTACGTCTGGATGAGAAAGAGAACCTTCCTCTGGCATGCTCTCCCTGTTTTTAGCCAATGGCTCTTGGAAGCCTTCTTGGCTTTCATGGAAAAAAAGAGCTGCATGTTGATGTGTGACCTCTGGTGTATACAGAAGGGTTTCTGGACTGACTTTTTCCTGCATCATTTTTGGTTTTCCACACTTGTAGGTGCAGAGCCAAGCACGTGTGAGGTCAGAGTCTCACTTGTGGGGTGTCCTGCAGCTCACGCCAGCTCAGGGGCTGAGGGTCACTCACCATGCACTGCATGCTGCAGCTCTCACCAGGGAGTCACGTTGCTCTGGCTTTGTTTGAGGTTGGTCTGGCACCTGAAAGGATTTCACATGTCTAAATCCACGGGTCCCTAGCCAGTCACCAGCTCTGCCTGGTATTTGAGAGTCAGGGGGTGAAGATGAGAGGCCAAAGTTTGCCTCAAGACTGACGGGCAGTTTGGGAGTTTTCTGTTTGAAAAGATTACAAATACCTTGGTATCTCAGTGGTAAATGGTCTAAGATTTTGACTGAATTCTTCCATCTGAGATTTTCAAGATTTATTTTGAGATTAATTGAATGTATTTTTGGCAACACCGAAGTTCATTTGGAAGGCCTTAATACAAGCTGGCAGCAATTCAGCAGGAGTCTGGCATGGTTTTACCTGAGGGAACTCTAAAACAGCAAGCCTTCCCATGACTAAATATCACAGGGGTCACGGAACAATTAGATTTGGGGTTACAGATGTGCTTATCAGTGTCAGGACAATCATGTCTTCTAGCAGTATTAGCTGGGTAACCTCAGACATTGACTTTGGAGGACTTAATGGGAGAAGGAAAAGCTTGGACCATAAACCTCACAAGTGCACTGTGTGCCATGCAGGCTGAGCAGCATTTTTTTGTGTTTTATTTATTTATTTATTTTTATTTTTCTTGATTTGGACTTCAGTTCTGGCTTTCAGGTAATGTTTCTGGCTTTCAGATACCACAACTGTCTTGTGAAGCCCCTGTGGTGAAAATGACTAGAAGCTGGGGAAATATTGGTCACTGCTTCCCTGAGCTTAGACTCCCTCCAAGCCATCCCCTCTTTGTCATCCCTGAAGGCATGACATGGGTTAGCCTGATGGCTATGGCCACTCTGGTGGTTTGTCATGCTGTAATCCTCTGCCCACACTCGGGCTTTGGGGGCAGCAAAGGTCCCTTGCTGTGTCTCTCTCCTCGCCTTGCTGCACCCAGTGTATGGGGTCAGAAGCAAACAACTCTGCTGCATTACCTTGTGCGTAGCTCATACCAGGAAAGAAGGTGTGAGGTGTGTGCTCAGATAGCATTGCCAGAAAAGAGCAGCAGAGGGAAGGCAGTTTTTACCCATGACACTAGTTCACCAAGTTAACCACATCCCAGTTCATCCCTGCTAAGGCAGTGCTTTCCCTTTGAAATAAAGTAGTGTAGCCTTTGCTGAGGACAACATTTGTGCCTCTGTTTCCTTGGAGGCAGATGAGGATCTTGCATGTCTTCTCATGCTGTAATCAATTTATTGCTGTATGGGAACCAGAGCTCCCCAGGAAAGTGTCATGGATTATGTCATGGAGCACACTACTTGCATGGAGACCTTTGATTCAGCTGGCAGACATAAAAAGAAGACAAAATGTGTTTAGCCAAAATGCTCTGTAATGACTGCATGTGTGCAGCTGCAAAAAGAGCAATGGTAATTGAGCCAAGAGTGGAAATTATTGGCAGCAGGGCCTGCATTCATGTGTGCTTCATATTTTATTCCTGATTTACAATCTCCTCACCAGCTGTGCCATGTAGCTGGCTGTGTCACTGCTCTGCTCCCACCTAGCTGCTGCCCACCCTGCTGCCTTCCTGGGGCTCTCCCGAGACCAGGGCTGAGGACCTGCTCCTGACATTGGTTTTCAGTGCCCTAGAGGTAGGGAGGTGCTCCTGGGTATGCTCCAGGCATAAATATTTGGGGTGAGGTAAGAACTTCCCCTGTACACCTTACCCCAAGTGCGGAGACTCTGGAAACAGGCTGGGAGCTCAGGAACAGGGGCTGGGGCCAGAACACCAAAGCTATCAGGGGAAAGCTGCTTCAAGCTAGAGTCTGACATGCGCAACCCAGAATCCCCACCTCAAGGCTTGACAAGATTGATGTTATCCCCTATGCATGTTTTTCTCCTCCTATCATTACTGGGGGGCTTCTCAGTTTTGGGGAGTTTTTGATCATTCCAGCACCAGCCAGGCACTGTTGCTGGGAAATGGGGGTTTTTCCCTTAAAGGCTGGCTGGCAGAGGTGGCTCAGCAGGGACCTACGGGGCTCCCTTGTTCGTAACCAAACTCTGGGTGCAATTTGGGAGCTTTGCACGTGGAGAAGGCACCGCTGCCCTGGCAGCTCTGAGCACTGTTGGTCTGTTTCTGTTGCAGCTCCTGCAGGCTCCGGAGCTGCGATCTCTCCCACTAAGCTCCAGCATTTAGGAGGGTGCTGTCTGTGTGTAATTTGTGAGATTTTGTTACAAGTCTTCCCTTTCTCTCTCCCTTGTGATGGCAGAGGGATTCTTGCAAATACAGCACAGGTTTATCTATCCTAAATGTGGAAACAGCACAGTGCAGGAGCACTCTGTGCAAGGAACGAGAAACAGGTCCCAGCTGTACTATTCATTTGCCTTAGACACGAGGCTTTTTAAATATACATATTTTTAATTCTTGGGGATGCTTATGGCTCATAAGTCAAAAAAGCCTGAGCCTGCTGTTGCTAAATCAGCTCTCCAAGTTAGAGAGGGGATGCTGCTTTTGGAGGTGAGACCCCCAGGGATGGATGTGTGCCTCTGCTGCTCTCTCACGTTTCATGAGTGTGTCTCTGGGTGCTTTCCTTGCCCCTTTCAGAGGTGTTGGTTTCCTTTTCCTACCACAGAGAAATTCCTGCAGCCATCGATACAGGCTGTCAGGCCATCGCCTTTCAAACCTGGATGGTTTCAGGCCAATGCATCCTGCCTGAACCTGAGGTTTGTACAGACTCTTCTGTTTCACTGCTAAACAGAAGAGAAGGGAGGATAATGTCTGGTAGACTAATTACTAGCGCTCTAAATACCTGCTGGGGGAAGGATGTGCTTTCAGCATCAGGCACCCGTGGGCTATGTTTCTCTTGCCTGAGCCCAGTTTCTCCCTGACGAGGAGGGAAGCTCTTCCCCTTGGCTGTTTGCAGAGCAATTTGATCCACACGCAGCAACCCTCCCAGCACTCGCACCTCCAGTTCCTGCCCTGGGGTGGGAACTGGCGGAGAGGCCCAGAGGAGCCCCGTTTCCTCCCAGCCCTACGGCACAGAGCAGGATACACAAAGTTTTCCATATGTTGGAGGCTGAGGGCACGTGCAGCCTCAAGGATGCAGCTCAGGAGCCTTCACTCTCAGCATTCCTTTCTGATACAGAGGAGTTATTTGCATTTAGATACAATTTAATGCAGTCTCAGGTCTTCCGTGCTTTCCATCCTCTATTTTCACCTGCATTTCTCCATGCCAGGTGTGGGGCAGAGCCTGTGCAGCCCCAGGACTCCCAGTGCCCATGGGCTTGCACAAAAGCCTGAAGCCATGCATAAGTACTTCCAGCAGCTTTCTCTCTCTCTCCCCTGCAGAGTCATGCAGTGGGGAATGCTGCATAACCCCATGGAAGTACCCCAAAAGTACAACCCACCTCCAGTCCCGCTCTGCAGCCAGCTGTCAGACCCATGGCAGACCCTTTGGATTGCTCTCAAATCTGCCAAGGGAGAAGAGGTGAAGGTGTTGAGTCTAAAATTCAAATGCACAGAGAGACAAACCCTTGCCTTTATCCTGGAGATGAGGAGTTGGATCACACCCCCCTTTCCTTTTTTTTTTCCCAGGATCACTCTTTCTGTCTTATATATAAATTTTATGAGCCAATTGGTGGCAGAAATACTTCTGCAAAGTCGAACTGTTATTTCACACAGGCTTAGCCATCCATTTCCAAGTGCAGCTCCTCAGTGCCATGCTGGACCGACACTCAGGATGTCAACAGAGAGAGCTCACTTGCTCTGAACCGTGAATTGAGGAACAACTTTTTCATAAGGTGGATAACAAAACACCCGCATTTTGCCTGTAAAAACCTCTGTTGCTGGCAGTTTGGAAGACCAGATCCCTGCAGGTGAGGCAGATGTGCACCAGGGTGAAGGGATGGCCAGGACCAGCTGGCTATGACTTGCTGCCCGTGACCCTAAGCAGGGGAGTGAGCCCAGCTCACCTCCAGGCATGCACAAAGCCCTCCTGTTTTCTCAGCAGCATCATCAACTGCTTCCTGGCTGGGGTCTAACACCAGCACTGCTGGACCTACAGCTGCTATTGATTTCTATTTCATGCCCATTGATAGAGGTGGTGCAGGTGGGAAACTCTGAGAGGAGGCATAAATAATAAACTACGAAAAGCTGCAGTGCTGGAGTGAATGAGAAGCAGTTTGGCATTTGCTGGAAAGCAAAGTTTAGCTGCTAATTTTTCAATGCACAGACAGTTTTGCTACAGAAAATGCCGTGCCTGCTTTTGCTGTTAGTTATGGAGAGGGAATTGGGAAGCAGTCCTGGGCCAGGGGAGAGAGAGGGATTGGAGCTGGTCCTACCTCTTCTCTTGTCCCTTTCCTCATGCTGCTCTGGGTTAGCAACAGCTCTGCTGCAAATTAGCAACCCCAACAAACTGACTAGCAATTAATGTTTTTAAACCAACATTTGTCATTTTGGAAAAGGAACTAACTCCTTTTTTTTTTTTTTTTCCTCACTATCCAGGTAGATTTACTGCGTGTGAGGCTGTTTGAATGGGAGGGAGGCCCCAGCAAGGGTCTGTTCAATTCAATATGCATTCATAATGTACGGCGGAAGGCTTGCCAGCAGACCTGGGCCAAGATCAGACGTTCCTCCAGTCCTGCCTCACACCTTTTTTTTGGGTATCTACTGCACAGTGCCATGAAAAAGGTCGCGTGCCAGGGCACGAGCAGGAAAAGGGCCGTGACATTTCAGAGATGAGTGCGTGAAGCACAACCCTCCCCTCACACATGGTCTGCGTGGTTGCTGGTGTTTACCAGAGCTGCAGGTCCTGTCCCACCAGAAGAACCCCAAGATATAGCAAAGAGGGTTTTTATTCCTTGAGAGGCTGCATTTGGGAACTCATTTTGGAGTTAGGGTAGGGCCCGATGCGTGCTTGCAGCTGCACCACGCTGGGCACAGCTCACCCTGCTGCTGCCTGCCTCCTGCGCTGGCTGAGCAGTTCCCTGGGTTTGCCATCAGTAACCTTCAGCCTGGTGGGGAAGAAAAGGGAAGAGCTCTGTCCAAGGCTCAGCAGGTTGTGAAAAGAGTAAGGAAAAGGTGCAGAAACTGCTTGGGGGAGTGAACAGGAGGCAGAACTGGAACCAGGAACCTGCAGCCTCTCTGGCTGCAGTGGACATTGGACTGGGCTGTATTTATACACCAGAGTCTGGTTTCACTCAGCATCCTGTGCTGATCTAGCAGGCTCTAAACACCATCTAAGATGATGGGAATACGCCAGAGGCTGCCCACACCTCCTGCCCTTGCCTGGGGGCCAGGACCGTCTCCATCTCCTGTCCCTCTGGCTCCCTCCCCCACCAGCATGGATGCCCACGGTGCAGATGGCTGTCTGGAAGCGTAATGACATTTACCAAAGGGGACCAGAAATGATCACTGAGGGACTGCAAATAATGAAGCCAATTCCTTTTATTGACACACGTGGAAGCTGTTTAATTTCGGATGTTGGCTGTCAGAAAATAGAGCTCTTCTGCGGAGGTTTTCTCAGGGAAGCAATATTGCGCTTGGTGTCAAGGTTTGTGCTCGCATTTAAAAGCGAGATATCCTCAGCTCTTAGATTTGAAGCTTCTTCATGACTCTAACCTATCACTTACACATTCAACATGCATCTAAGAGCCTGATCTGTCTCTGCTTGCAGACTACAATGATTTTTTGCCAAGGATTTCTTGCTGAGAAAGACGAGATACCAAATAACATGCACATTTTCATTCATTCCCTCTGAAAATGCAGCTGTAAGCCTAGCACTCAAGCTGGGCACTCGGTTGCCTTTCAGCCCCTGATTTCTGCTTTAGGCATTCTGCTTTTCCATTTGGGTCACAAAACTCGGTGTTCTTGGGGTTCCTCATGTGCTCTAAGGAGCTGTGACCTTTGCCACCACGCTGTGCAGTGAGCCAGGAGGAGCAATGTGCCTCACAGAGGGTGAACCTAAAGCTGAGCATCGCAGACTTGAGGACCAGGGAAACACCTCTTGTTAGGAGGGGCTGCAGGTGCAATTTCCCCCTTGCCTGCCTTTGGTGAATCCTGCCTCCATCAGCTTCCCTGGCCTTGTCCTGGGCAAGCACCAGCATTATTTGCTCCCTGAAGCTTGTGAGTGTGGGGTACCACGCAGCTACGCCGGCTGTCTCAAACTCCCACAAGATCCTAGAGAGTCCCCAGCACCCCAAAAACAGCGTCACAAGACCAGGAGGTGCAGCAGAGGAGGTTTGGGTGCCCACCAGGGCTGAGAGGTGTCACTTGGCATCCACGCCTTCCTGTTGGGAACTGGAAAAGAAGGATTTAATGGTTATTTTTGCAAGCATTAATGTGTGGGGAGGGAGAATGGTGGGCACTATTTTTCTGGGAGGGGGGAATCTCTTCTAAATGCCTCTGCAGCCTGGCAGCGCAGCCTGGCCCAGCCACCCCTGGGACTGCAGCCCCCAAAGGGGCTTTAATAGCAGCCTCCTCTCCGAGGACACATGCATTAGGGCTTATATTAGTGCTTCATTAAGGACAGGAGAAGGGCAACCTGAAGGGTCACCAAATCCTCTCTCCTGCCATTGCAGGTAGCCATGTCCTCTAATCCCTATTACTGCAGGAGGGAAGAGGCAAATCAGTGGGGACCTGAGCTCGTGTGGGCAGGGGCAGCCTGCAAGCCCCCCAAAAAGCCACCAGGGAAAGACTGTGGTCCTTGTGCTTGACATCTGCCGGGGTTACATCCATCTCAGCACAGGGCTGCCGGGAGGAGGCAGCCTGGCTTATTAATTTTTAGTGCGCTGCAATGCCGCTGCATGAAAAGCTATCATCATGAAAGCGCCCAGCAGCAGGCAATCAGTGCTCGACCTTACAAAGGGACCTCTGTTGGGCTCAGCCTTCTCCAAAGGCCAGTTACAAACTACATTATTTATGTGGAAAAGTGTTATTAGCTGGGTTTCCTTTATTTTCTTTTTTTTTTTTTTCTTTTTTTCTTTTTTTTTTTCATGGAGGGATTTTAAGAGACTCTTTGTAAGGAGCTCTCAGAGGCTCTGGGACTTTCTCCCTCTCTGTTTCCTGGTGAGAGCAGATTTTTTTATTTATTTATATATGTTTTTTACTGAATATTTCAAATGCCAGGAAGCGATATAACGTTAAAGCAAAGCCAGTCAATGGGTAATTGTGGCACCAGTCTAGCTGGTGTTAAGAATGACATTTTCTGTGTTATTACGAGAGCCTGGGAATTTTAAGAGTTTACCTTTTAACAGCCTCCCTAAGAACATGGGCACACATTAATGCTTGGAATAGGCAATTAAAAGCAAAAACGGCTGATGGGCTCGGTGGCACAGGACTGGGTTCAGAATGAATTAGACCTAGAAATAGATGTCAGCAAGAAAGACCTCTGTAATTATTATTACTTTAAAAAAAAAAAAAAAAAAAAAAAAAAAAAAAAAAAGAAGATGAGTTGTGGCCAGTTCCTGCACTGCAGGAATCAGGGTGGGTTTTCTCCATCGTGGCGGTGGCTCGGTCTGCACCTTGGGTATGTGGAGCAGAAGCTGTGGCAGGAAGCAAGCAGCTTCTTATGGGCTGCTCTGAACAGCACTGGACATCAGCATTAACCCATTAGTACCTCAAAATATTACTTATTTGGAATAAATAATGGTAAGAACTGGGCTTCAGGTTCACTCAGGTGAACCAGAGCTTGCTCCAGGTCCAGGATGGCTATGGCTCTGTGCATCTGTGCCTCTCTCTCTAGCCAATGCATGCAGCACAAATCTTTTCTACTGTGATTTTTACCCCCCTCATTTTCTGCAAATATTTACAGCACTAATTCCAAATTAGCCTTTCTTTCCCCTTTCTTTCTTTTGTAACACACAGAACGAGCCGCTCGCTGAATATTCAGAATTTTAAGCAAAAGGCCGTGTCCGGCGTTTGCTATAAATATGTATAAATGCTTATTGGATCTTTACCAGTAGCACCTGTTTCTTCTGATGAGGCCTGCGATACGGAAGAAAAATGCAAACAGGAGCCTTCTAAATGAAATGGCAAATTTAACCCATGCGAGGTGTGGAATACTAATGAGCAAGCGGAGGGCGCCGCGGCGCATTCGAGAGCTCCCGGCACCGAGCGATGACCTTGCTCGGACGTGCGAAGAAGGGAGCCCTTTCGCTCAGGAGCAAATAGATGCCTCTGATTAATCTACAAACACCCAGCCTCTCTGGGGACCTTCCCAGCCAAGCAGGGGGAGATTAAAGAGCTCAGCCTCCCGAATTCAGCTCTGCAGTGGTTTTGCACCGAGCACCCCCCGCCCCAACCCACTGTTGCCTCCATTTGTCACGGCGCGCTCGTGTTAATAAAAATACCAGATTGGCACTGCGCTCCCTGCTGCAGCCTCAAGCTGGTCAATTATTCTGCTTTAATTACCCCCTTAAACCTGCTTTTTTACAGGCGTGGGCCTTTGCTGTGTTTACGGCTAATAAAGCAATGAAGCGATGTGGTGATAAATTGCCGTTCTGGTTAGGGTGGGGACGGGATGTGACAAGCGACGAGCTGTGCAGGTGGGCATCCAGGGAAGTTTTGTGCATTGCTGTGTTTTGGAGAAACATTTTTTCCCTCCCTCCCCCAGAGTGTCTTTGTCTCTCTTTTTGTTTCACAGCAATTTTGATGTTTGAACGTTAAGTTTGTCTTCTTCTTATACTGCTGAATATGAAAATGCTGAAAGTGTCTTTGTTCAGCAGGTTAATTTTCTTTCTGATGATTAAAAGGAGATGATCATTTAAGAGAGCAGAATAAAAATTGCACTTGGGAATTTCACTAGACCAAGAAATAGAGTGGAAGGTTTTTAATAAGGGGCTGTCTAATTTGGATTTTTTTCTTTTCAGCTAGAACACGGAAACTGCTTTCCATTATGTGAGATCAATAATACTCTTTTTAAACTCTCATTTTCATATTTAATCATCTGCTTAACATTGGTGCTGGGTATTTCTATAATTTCAGCTCGACCCTGAAATCCAGTGCAGGGATATTTTCTGCCATGGCATCCTATGGAAAAACAGCAATTCTGTGAAGATCTCCACTGCTCTACACCAGGGAGAACAACGTGATGGTGAGCAGAGGATATGCTGGTGTGAGGAGGGATGGGGTTCACTGTGGGGTGTGAGGACAGGCAGCAAACCCCAGTATGAGATCAGTGCCGGAGCAGGCACAGCCCCAGGGGCCCTGAGCTCCCCGTGATGTCCTTCCACCTTGCCACCAGTCACCTTCCAGTTTGGGCCTATGTTCCAGCTGGCACTCCTGTCACATATAAAAAATAACTCCCAAAACGTGGATTGCTGGGGCAAATGGTCAACATTGCAGCCAGGATGTGTTTTTCTCCATTTAGTTTTCAGTGTGTTTGTGGTGTTTTTCTCCAGAGTGCAGAGAGACAGAACTGTTTCTCCCTGGCAAAAAGCAACATCACCTCCCATTTGCTGTGCTCTGGCCACCAGGACTCCTTACCTTCACCAACACCTCCAAGACCAGAGATTAAATGGTGAGGGAGCCTCTCAGATGCTGTCATGGGACTGAATGGGGAAATCTGGGAGCAGGACCCTGTGGATCGTTTCCCTCCACGTCCCCAGGTGCTGCCATGGTCCTGCAGCCCATCCTTCACCTGGTGATGTCCTCAGCTTGTGGTGGCAAACTGGAGCCTCCAGCCCCTGGTGGCCACTGGACTTGGTGGAGAAGGACACATGGCTGTCAGTGTGTGCCAGCCACCAGAGGCCATTGGGATCCAGGGCTCCTGATGTGCACAGATGGAAACCCTCTTAGAAAACTTGTTATAAGTAAAAACCATGTCACCCTGGAGCAAAGAGAGCTCCCTCAGAAGCAACATCTGATTTGCAACCCCTCCCTCCCCTGAGCACTGCTGAAAGGAGCCCTGTGTTATAGGTAAGGATGTGGCTGAGCAGCTATAGAAAATATGTGAAGCTGGAGAAAATAAATGGGGGAGAGCTGCAATAACTCTCAGAGCCACTGCTGGCCTCTTGAAACAGCCATTTCATCACCGCACGCTGCCGTCGTCCCCTCACATTTACATACACAGCAAGCACGAGAAAGGAGCCCTGGGCAGCCAGGATGTGCAGTGCATTGCAGGGAAGCCGAAGTATGTGAGAATCATTCTTCAGACACACTTCTCCTTGCAGGGTACAGCAGAGGGGAGAGCTAATCCTGCTCCAAAGCACCTTGGTTCAGCATGTGGTCAGCTGCAGGAGAGTAGATCCTTCATGAGAAGTCCATGGGAGGAGACATCAAGCAAGGGGAGATGTCATTACCTGAAGTACCTTTACTCCCCCTCTTCCAGTTTTTTTTTCTAATATGTAGTGCTTTCTTTTCTTTTTTTCTTTTCTTTTCTTTTCTTTTCTTTTCTTTTCTTTTCTTTTCTTTTCTTTTCTTTTCTTTTCTTTTCTTTTCTTTTCTTTTCTTTTCTTTTCTTTTCTTTTCTTTTCTTTTCTTTTCTTTTCTTTTCTTCTTTTCTTTTCTTTTCCTTTCTTTTCCTTTCTTTTCCTTTCTTTTCCTTTCTTTTCCTTTCTTTTCCTTTCTTCTTTTTCTTATCTTTAACAGTCCTTTGAAGGACATTTCTCCTATGAATATGGCCCAAGGATTGCATAAGCAAGGCCATATTCCAGCCATTTCTGTGCCTTGGGGTGAGGAGCACCATGGTTAAACCCATGGTGCACAATGAAGGAACTCTTTTTTGTGGCTACTTTTTTGTGGCTACTTGCTGCTGTTGTTTCAACCTGCCACTGACAACTCCCCAGGCTGCTCCTCAGGTTTTGCTAAATGGGGGGTCGTGAGTAAAACCTCCCAATCACCTCCCTCGGGTCATTTGTGAGCTTCATTTTATCCCTTTTCTCCTTCTTCTGAGGTTAACAAGGTTCAGCCACCTCATATTGAGCAGGTCCTGTACCTGCAAACCTCTTGGCCACCCTTGTCTGTGCCGTGCCTGGTTCACTGTCACCTTGCTGAGCTGGCGAAAGATGAACGAATGCAGTATTCAAGGTGGAGCCTGTCGTAGTCTCATGTAGCTGTCTGGTGAGGCTTGCTGGCTGACTCTCTGCTCCTGATCAAATGTTTCTTAGCATTCTCCTTGCACGGGGTTTTCTGACAGCAACCAAGCTCAGCGCTGACGTTTCCATAGCACTGTCTGATGTAGTTGCCTGTTTCCCTTTGTGGTGTCACTTACACGTTAGTTTAATGTAGATTTTACAGGGATTCGACTGATCTACCGCTGAATAGGAAGTTACCATCCCTAAATGGCACTTCAGCAGCTACCTTGTGTGTCTGATCCGAGCCCACACCGGTTGCATTAGCTCATACTGACTCGAAGGTATTTCTTTCATCTTTCAGAACAGCCTCTCCCACAGCCTGAGCCCCCAGATCAGCTGCTGAGTGGTAGCTCGGAGCCGCTGTAGGCAACTTGATCCCTCTAGGTTATGTGCCCATCTCTACATATTGTTGGCAAAGAGCCTAGGAGACGCATGG